CCTCACTTCACAGCAGGAGTTCCTGTATCTTTGCCTGTGTGGTCTATCTCTCGCTTCTTATAAAACTACCAGAACTAATAATGGGACCCATTCCAGTAACCTCTTCTAATTTAATCATGTTCCAATGGGCCTAATTTGAAGTACTATGGTCAGATTAAGATTCTGCTTTCTTAGTGTCATTAAGACAGTTAGGATTAAACTCCTGTCTGAATTATGTAGGGCAACTTTATCATCTGGACAGTTAAATAACTTGAATAGGTTAACACATCCAGTCCTAGTTCATGACTTACCTCTTATTCATCTTTCCTTCACACTTGTAGGTCAGGGGCAGTCTGTGATCTCTGTTCAGAGCTTTATGAATGTCCTTGTTCCCAATCAGCCCTTTCACATTCCTCCTTATATTCCATCCCATGACAGCTGTCCCAACAGCCAACCGAGTGGTTGTACTAGTCAAGGACCAGCTTCCAGAGCCTGGGAACACAGACCATGCTGAGGGCAGGTGGTAGAGCCACTGGGCACGCAGAGATATCTTCAGGCCCAGCTTTGCTCTGGACACCTTCACATTGTGGATGAAAAGCCAAATCACTTGAGACACCACAAACCAGCTGGCAGAGTCCCTGTGCCAACCAAGAGGCAAATGCCATGGTGCCCACAGGGCTTTTCAGGCATGGCACTTCCTTCCCACCTGCTTAATCACATTAAATGGGCATCTGCCAAGTCAGGAAGAACTTCCTGTCTTGAGCTCTCTCTGTCTGTCTCCATATATATATTTGCCATATATATATATATATATATATATATACATATATATATATATATATACATATATATATATATATATATGGCAAATAGACATTTGGAGCATTTTTAGATCTCCAAAAAAACTCTGTAATAATCTAAGCTTAGCAGCATTGGCATGCTCCAGTGCTCCAGGCTTGACCACAAAGGAGATTATGCCAGCCTTGGGTGTCTGGCTAGGAGAAAGCAGAGGATCCTTTGATTGCTACCTGCTTGCATTAAATGGACCAGCCACTTCCCTAACTTTGCCCAGAGAGGTTGTTGTGAGCTAATCAAGACTGCTTCTGTTCTTGTGGCTGATAATAAAGCTACAATCAGTGCATTATTAACCAGCTGGTTGCTCTGGGACCCTGGGGGTTCTAATCTTAAGGAAATAACCCCTCTTCTGGGTGGGACCTTGTTTCCACCTCTCCCCAGTATGAGCTTGTTGCAAAGGCAAAGCTGGAGGAGTCTCAGTTCTACTCATTTAAGTAGTACTTAGTGCCAGGACTGTTCTACAGTTAGGAGACTGGTTGTGCTTTATGCAGTAGTGTTAGTGTGAACTTTGGGATTTACTTGTCCATGCTCTTCTCTGTCACTCCCACCTGTTTCCAAGAGTTTTGAATGGGGAGTCAGGAAATAGGCTGGTGTTCTGTGATGCTTGCAGGTCAATGTCTTGATAATTGACTGCCTGGGTCATAAGCTGAGTAACCCTGGGTAAGTTATTCCACTTCTCTGAGCCCTAAATTCTTTATTTTTAAATGAGGATGAGAATACTACCCTTTTGCACAGGGTTGTTCTAGGGATTTAAATAGGCAAGATGGCTTGTACAGTGCCTGGTACAGACCAAAGCTCAGGTATTTCCTATTCTTCTTGTCATCTTTTCCATCTTTCTAGAGGATTTCTGGAGGGCCCCAACCACTCTCTTACTCAGTTTCTTTGTATGAGAACTGTGAATAATAGAGCTTTTAGAAACACTTCACAAATACCAGAAAGCATTAAGCACTAAGCTCACTATATTGGCATATACCATGGAGAATCTTCAGTTCAGCAAAACTTAAGGATAGGGGGAACAGTGGAGGCTTCTACTGGGAGTTGGAAGCTACTCTGGTCAAGAAAGAGATTAAAAATAATGGAAAGAAACAAAATGTGGAACTCAGGTTAAAGAGTGAATTAACTCTAGCACTAGGAAAGCTACTAAGAAGTTTAAGCTCTCAGGAATGGCTCTCAGGTTGGGGAAGTTTCTTGTAATGCTGGGCCAGATGTAGTCTCCAGGGAGAGGAAAACACTATGCTGGTGTTTGGCATGTAATAGTCACTCCAAATATTTGTGAATGTTTAATGAAGAGATCAGAATTCAGCCCTTGTGGTGTGACAAAGATGGCTATAGTGCTGGGGAGAAGCTGGAAAAGAACTCGCAAATGTTTCCAGAGCCTAATTGTGCAGCCTCTGCTAGTGGAAGACCAGTTTTGCTCTCATAGGAAGCTGCAGGGCAGCATTTCTCCCCCAAAATGCACCCTCTCTCTGGCAAGGAAATTCCAGGAGGCTACATGAGAAGGAGTTGTCCAATACTGTCCTGGGGAAAGAAACAGTGACGGTATTTGTATGAAAGGAAAACCTGGTGTATAATCCCTGAAGTGTTCAGAGTCTCAATGATGCTTATGATGCTGGTTATGAATGTAGATATGGGCCTCTTTAAATACACTCTGTCATCACAGGCTGGATTCTTAGGAAGCTAAACTCTGACATGGAGTCTCAGTTATTGGAATCCACACATGTAGAATGAAATGAGTGGGCAGAGAGGGCAAAGGTGGGTAGAGGAACCCTGAACTGTGACTCTGTCTCAATGGAGGCCTCAGCCTACCCTGAGTTGTTGTTGGGTGACCTTTCACAGTAAGGAGTGGACTTTCATCTTCATTCTCTGATCAGCCAGGAAGGAGACTGGATGTTAAATGATGCGGATCACTGACCAGTTTGCCCTGTCCTGGGCTGAACCATCAGAGGCAAGGAGCAGACTACCTCAAACAGCTTTTGATTGCAGTTCTGCTTCATTCAGTCCAAACTCAGTGCAAAGGAAAAATCAAAAGGCACAGGCAACAAAAGAACACACTGTTCTTCCTTCGTCCTTTGTCTTCGACTGTTTTCTTGGTTTTAGTAGTTTGGCTAAGAGGTTAGGATTTGGGTTCAGAAACTGAGGAAGGTAAATTCCTATCTGGGCAACAGGTGGATGGCAGTGATAAGAGTGAGGGGCTGAGAGTGGAAATGAGGGTCAGCATTGCAATGGATAGCCTTCTGCCGAGGACACCCCCTGGGGCTGAGGGAAACAGCGAAGAGACTCCATGAAAGTGCCACATCGTAATAATCCAGGATTGCCTTTCATAGTGCTTTCAACCTAGCAGGTGAAAGTGCTGAGCAAAAATCCTTCCAAGGCTTTCTCAATTTAAGAGTTTCACATCTGAGATTGAGGGCAGATACACCTTTTCTATTGAAATATCAGAGCCATCCTAATGACTGGGCTTTGCTCTTATAATTCCCTTCTTCTTAGCAAAAGGAGGCCTATTGTTGTTTGCCTTTCAGTTCCTGAATTATTTTCTCTGGGAACATAGCTCTGTTTTGCAAATGAAGCATTAAATGAACAGTCAACTAGAAGAACTGAATGGTCTAGGGAAATGAGCCAACACAGGGCAGGGGCAGTAATGAAAATGCTTTATTTTCCCTTCCCAGTGAAGCAGGTGTCCAGTGTCCTCTTCCCGCCTTTTCAGTGACCAAGTTTTTACTGTAATTTGATTTTTCTCCAACACTTGACATATGCCTCACCAATGGCCTGTGCTATGTAGACCCAAACTAACCAATGTTAAACAAGGAGAAAAAAATTAGAAGACAAATCTGCTCATTAAGGTCACACAAGGGAGTCACCTCCCAAAGAACTAGGATTGCAATGTGAATTCCTTATCCTACTCCTAGCTTAGGCTCTGCATATGTAAAACAAGGTGGGGAGAGAGGGAAAATAAGGGGGGGCAGCAATTCACTATCAGTGGCTTAGGTTATATCAAGTTCTGTTAAAAGGTAATCACAAGTGGACACATCCTGATCACCATGAGAGGGAAAATAATGCAGCATTCTTGTTCATTCGCTTCTCTAGGTATCTACCTTCAGTTCCTAGCATTGTAAAATCCATTTCTGATTACATTATTGGTTAAAATATTCCATGGTTCCCACTGCATGGCAAGCTGTGCAGGAAAACAATGAGGTTATTCACTGACCTTTTCCTGCTTTTAAGAACAGCTTCTCTATAAAAGTAGCACCTCTATAATAACAGTAAAAAATAAAAAAGGACAGAACACATGCTGAAACTCCAAAAGAAGAGAGTAGAATTGAAAGCAAGTGGGCTTTTTAAACCAGGCAGAATTCTAAGTAAACATGGGCCTGATTGCTCTGCATCTCCCTCTGGCTAACAGAGGGAGAGTAAGAATAAGACAGGGTCACTGTATTTCTGATGGTCTTACTTCAAGGCTTTGCATAAATGTCACTTCCTCTGAGGTGTCATGAGTCACAATGCTAACTAATGTCCTTCATGGAGCACAACTGACATGAGTCTGATCACCACACTTAGTTGAGGCATGAGTCTGCCTCTCACATTTTCTTAGCTCTTTAGGGCACCACACCCATCCCTGCCTTACGTGTATCCACTTTGACAATCTTTAGAGGTGTCTAAGCCTACCAGTGTTTAACCACAGCAGAGTCACGGAGGACTCTGCCATCATAAAATCATGTGGCGACAGCATGTCGCTGTCCAGCGTTCCATTTACTGGCACTTATGAACATGCCAGACAGGAGAAGATGGTGGGGGAGGATGGTAAGGGGCAGTGTCAGGTCCCATAAGCTCCCTCTTCTGTGATTCTCCTTTGTAACACAGGACCATAGGGCTTGCAACTCTTCTAATCAGCTTCTTTACTCTGCCTGCATCTTTTCTTTGTTCTTAATTTGTACACTGGGATTTAGATCACACTCAGAATTTTATGCTCATGTAGTAAATTTCATCATTTTTCCCTTGAGTATTAAGAGCATGCATAAGAATTAACAAATTATATGTATTTTGCAGATGTTTCCCAGGTCCAAGAATGGTAATTATTGTAGATTTTAGAAACAAATTTCAAGTCACCAGCATAAGACAATCCTAATTTAAAAAAAAACAGAGAAGGTAAAAAAATTCCACTTGTAAAATCATTTTATTGGTATAAATATAATACATATGAATAAAATACCTTCAGCCTGTAATGTAAGTGAATATTTGTGAAATGTCTTATAAAGAATTGTATTTCAATATTTTACAGGTGTCAAAGTATTTCTCTCTTAAAATCACACATTAAAAGCTATTATGCAGACAGACATTAAAGGCCTTCAAAAACATGGATATTCATAAAACCTCATTTCAATCGGATATATACACTAATCTGGGCACATGGGTAAAATAAGCCATGGGCCTATCTGACTCTGTTCTTAAGCTGTGATTGTTGATGGTATGTGAAGGTCACCAACCAAGCTTTTAATATACAATTCCATATCAGGAGGAAAGAAGTTCTCCATGGGATAATGTAAAAAAATCATACCCAAGATCTAATATATATAATTTATACAAATTATTTATTAGTGTGCTCTGTTAATATAATTACAATGTGCAATTGCGTACATCAAGAATAAATTGCTATATTGAATTATGTGCAGATTTGACACAAGTGCATTCAGCAGTACCCCTATGGTCTACTGGATGAAGTTACTTGTGTGACTGTGGATCCAGTTACTTTGTTAACCTCTGAAAATTCATCTTGCAGGGCAGTTTGTAGCTGCCTCAGAGAAATTCAAGTAGGGCCCATGGTATAATTGCTGGCTTTCATTGAGGGCATAGAAATAATATTGAGAATTCAAATGCCAAGAATTAGGGGAAAGGCAAAAAAAAAGTGCTTTGATAATCAAGAAATTGATCTGTTTTTACACTTAAAAAAGGAAAGAAAAAAGAAGGAAAAAAAAAAGAGAAGAGAATAAAGCACCAAGAGAAGGGAAGAGGTGTTGCCCTTGGTTCCTCTCTGAAGGCTGACAAAATCACCCTGCCCAGGAAGACTTCTGCTTGGGTGACTTTTACACAAAAATAAACTCTTTTTCAGTCTCTTCTCCGGAGTCACTAGACCTGCTGCCTGGGGGCCCATCTCTACTGGAGGAGCGTTGCTTTTTTTCTTGATTCTCTTGGGCCTGCTGGCCCCAGCTTCTCCTTGAAACTGAAATCAAAGGCATTGACAGATTATTGACAAAGCAATACTAATGGCCTGGCTAACAATGGGGTGTGTACAGGAGCCCTAAGAAGTGAGGAGGAGGGAAGCAGTTGGGATGGACTTCATCAGAAACAAACTTGTTTATTACATTTAGATACTACAATTTTAGAACAAACCAACAAAACCACAAATGTTAACAGGCAAAAACATACCAAAAAACAAAACATAACAAAACAAAAACCAATCTATGACAGGGTGAACCTCTCATAGATGTGATTGAGAATCTGAGATGAGGACCCCAAAGGCAAGGATGGTGGCAAAGCAGAGAGAGACACAGGAAGGAGAGACACACCAAGGTGAGATTGTTCTGTATCAGGTGACCTCCTCAATCACAGCTGCCCCCTTCAGGTGGCCCAGGGAGCAGGCATAGCCTTTGGGAAGTGCTGGCTGGAAAGATTCCCATTTGATATTTTCTGCAAATAGTTTAGGGCTGGTTATCTCTGCCTTGGCTGGGAGGATATCAGTAAAGGTCCCAGGAATTTTTGTTAGACCATTCTGTGTCTCAGCTTTCAAATCTTAATGTCTCATCTTTACTCTCAAGCAAATGAATACTTTTCACAGTCTTTAAAATAATGTCTGTGAACACAAATACTGCCCGTGATATATTCAATCCTCAGGTAAAAGGATTACAATTACTGCCTGTTGGGAGTATGGACACATATGAAGGATTCATTGTGACTTTATAAATGGACAGCAGGAGAACCATTACAGGAACTGAGCTTTTATTAAATGCCAGGCACAACTGTTTCATTAACATTCCTCCTCATAATAACCCTGTAAGATAGGTTCTTTAAAACTTGGAACCAGGATTCTAAGTATAATCTGTCTCTCTAAAGCCCTTAAAAAAATTCCAACTAGATTGTGGCTTCACTGCTGTTATGTCTTGGGAATGGTTTATTTAGATGTTAAATTCTAGGATACTTTTAAGAGTTATTAAATATTACTCACATGTTCATTGTATAGACACATCATGAGCTAAAATATCCCAAATCTGTGTCATTTGTAAAGCAGCTTGAAAGAAGAGTACAATTGCCTCATTAAAATAGTCCAACCAGAAACATTGTATTTCACTTCTAAAAAAAAGCTACAGGATTCATTTGATGCTTCTAATTATTTTGATTTTTATATTTTGCTAAATAATTCATCATGCCAGGAGCTGATTATGTAAATGTCCAAGTCAACAAAGATGATTTCAGGAAATAAAAGCTCATTATATCCAATAATGAAAATATAAACATAATACAGTACTTCTGTTGCCAATTCTGTTGTCACAACCAGATTCTAGACTGTAAACAACAAAAACACAGACTTTTTTAAAAAATCATGTGAAATTTTGAAAGGAAAACATGTAATTTAAAATTTTTGAGCCAGATGTGGTGGCACAGTCTTATAATCCCAGCAATTGGCAACTGGAGGCAGGAAGACTGCATGTATAAAACCAGCTTGGGCTACATTTCAGGACCCTGTCTCAAACCACCTCCCATTTTTTTGTTGCTTATTTTTTTGCCCAATATCTTTGGGAACATTATCAGTGTAGAGTGGTACCCATATGAGGGTATAGGTACCAAATCTGGGCCTCTCTTACTTGATTTTTTTGCTCAAGGCTGACTCTACCACTTGAGCCACACCTCTGTTTCTGGCTTTTTGCTGGTTAATTGGAGATAAGGCTCACAGACATTTTCTTCCTAGGCAGGCTTTGAACTGGGATCTTCAGATCTCAGCCTCCTGAGTAGCTATGATTACAGGTGTGAGTTACCAGTACCTGGCCAGATTTTTTAAAATTTTTTGTACATTTTTAAATTGTACAGATTCTTATTTTTTAAGCTTGTATTGGGAGAAAAATTGTACATATGGTCGACTGGTCCATCAAACACAGCTAGGGGGTGGTGGCTCATGCCTGCAATCCTAGCTACTCAGGAGAGTAAGATCTGAGGATTGTGGTTCAAAGCCAGCCCAGGAAGCAAAGTCCATGAGACGCTTACCAATTAACCACCAGAAAACAGTAAGTGGAGCTATGGCTCAAAGTGGTAGAGAGCTAGCCTTGAGCAAAAAGACCTCAGGAACAGTGCCCAGACACTCAGTTCAATCCTTACAACCAATGAAAGAGAAAGAAAGAAAGAAAGAAAGAAAGAAAGAAAGAAAGAAAGAAAGAAAGAAAGAAAGAAAGAAAGAAAGAAAGAAAGAAAGAAAGAAGAAAGGAAGGAAGGAAGGAAGAAAGAAACAAGGAAGGAAAGAAAGAAAGAAAGAAAGGAAGAAAGGAAAGAAAGAAAATTGTAAATACTTCACACTTTATCACTAAACTAATTTGATATTCATATATAAAGAACCCCAACTTGATATTCACCTGATAAAAAGCTCTCAAATTTAGCATATACTAAGAACAAGGTGACCGAGGATTTATAGTATCTTCATCTTGAAGATATTTGGAATAGGACTGGGAAGGTGGCTCAGTGGTAGAGCGCTTGCCTTGCATTCATGCGGCCCTGGGTTCGATTCCTCAGCACCACATAAGCAAAAAGAAAAAAGCCAGAAGTGGTGTTGTGGCTCAAGTGCTAACCTTGAGCTGAAGGGCTGAGGGACAGTGCCCAGGCCGAGTTCAGGCCCCACGACCGGACCCCCCCCCCAAAAGAAAGATACTTGGAACAAATTCAACCTCAAAATAGAGCATTACTTATGATATTTGCAATAAGCTTGTCATTTTATTTTAAACCATAAGGTTTTGCTCCTTACCAAAGTACTAAAAAATAAATTTCTAACTACAGGCTCAAAGGGAAAAAAGAAATATGGTGGTACATTGTTTATGTGTCTTCTGAGCAAATATACTTTTTCTAATCCATACAGTAAAATAATTCCAATATTGGCTTTCGGGTAATCTCAAATCCAATTCATGTTATATGATAAGACAGAAAAAATATTTTCTAGCTAGGTGCTAGTGGCTCATGCCAGAAATTCAAGTTACAAAGGACACAGAGATCCAAACGATCAAGGTTCAAAGCCAGCCTTGATAGAAAAGCCTGAGAGACCTAATCTCCAATTAACTAGCAAAATGCAGGCTGGAGGCATTAGCACAAATGATAGAATACCAGCTTTGAGCAAACAAGTGGAGCAAGCAAAAATCCTGAATTCAAATGCTGGTACTGGCAAAAAAAAAAAAAAAAAAGAAGTATTTTCTAAATTCCTGAAACCAAACTGTTTATCTCAAAGATAATAATCTGAAATATAACAAGAGTAAAGTTCATATAAAAACAATACAGGAATCTTTTAGCAAAAAGCAGATCATACTTCAGGCTCCATCTAAGTGTTGATATTTCAAGTCAGGGACACTGACTTCGAGTCTTCCAGGATGGGTTTGGGGAGATAGCAGAGGTGGGGAGTATACAGATTTGGTGACAAACAGCGAATATTAGTCATGGAAGTCAAAACCTACAATTTATCCAACACATTATTAGAGGGGAAAAGAACACATTATTTCAAGAGGGCTATCAAACCATTACTATGGTGGGGACACTTTAAATTTCATCCTGGAGCTGGGTATCGTTCAGTGGTAGCCTAGAATGTGTGAGGTCCGAAGTTCAATACCCAATACTACAAGGAAAAAGGGGGAAAATATTCTAAGTATACTTATCTTCAATGCTTAACTTTTATCAACTATGATGCACGTAAAGTGACTACAGGACCAGGCTAACATGTCCTTAATGGTATCGGCAGGCACCATCCACAGAAGGAAAATCTGAAGCACAGTGAAGCAGGAATCCACTGATGCTTGGTAAGTCTGGAAACTCAAGTACGCAGCCTTTAGGTCTAGACTCATTAGCCCAGATCCCTAGTGCAAACAGGTTTTGTAGGAGGAATGTTCTTTGTCAAGTTTATTTTCCAGCCCTTAGGGAGCATCTAGTAGAGTGTACATAATTAAAATGTTATTAAAAATATACAGAAGTAGGTTTGGTCAGGCTATCATTAAGAGATGGTCTCAAGGAAGTGGAGCTATGGCTCAAAGTGGTAGAGTGTTACCCTTGAGCAGAAAGAGCTCAGGAATGGGACCCAGGCCCTGAGTTCAAGCTCCATGATGACCAAAAGAGAGAGAGAGAGAGAGAGAGAGAGAGAGAGATTCAATAGATTTTGCCTGCTTGCAACTTAAAGCTCCAAAATTTATTTTTAAAATATTAAAACAATTTGCACATCTTTACTGATTAAGCAGCTTGATTTGAGTTTTTAAAAAATCAGAATGTTTTTCTTACACCTCTTCAACACAAATTTTCATGCAGTTAAAAATGTTGAGTGTGTCTGTATATGTGTCCACACACATACTTATTACCATTCTACAAACCATTAATTGATCAAAAGTGCTCAAGTAAATGAACTAGTAATTTATTCAACACAAACACTTGCTTGCATATTCACATCCTGTCTATCATGGCGATAATTATTGCAGAGAGGCTCAAACCTGAAGTCTGTGCTGTTGGTGCTGATTTGATTTTGCATATGTATATGTGCTAATTAAAAACATTCTGAAATATGCATATAAACTCAGAGATTCACATGAAACTTTGAGATTTCTTCACTGTTAGCTCAGCTGAGATCTGTAGTTTATGGAAGAAAAGCCTTATCAGAATCAGAATAATCAGTTGTGGTTGGCCCTAATGTTTAATTCTTTCCAGCAAGAACCAAAGATACCCAACAATTTCCAAATTTGTCTTGAAGAATTCTTCTAATGGAAATGTAACTTGGATATGGTAAAAGAATGAATAGATCACTAGCTTATAGACTGCAAGCCACAGCCAAGAATTTGTTGGCTGTAGGTTGAATACAGAAGACGCAAGAAAGTCATATCTGATTCTGATTCTCAGAATCAGATGCCCTGTACGAATATGATCCATTGCAACATACAAAGCCAAAAAAGCAACTATTTTCTTCAAGAAAATAGGATTATATGCTAATATAAATAA